TTAGCATAGTGTCTAGTACATAGTAGGGCCTAGTAAATGCCAGCTGCTAAAAGGTTGAGACTCTTGTCAGAATATTTTTTTTCTTCAAAGAATAATTGCTGTTGTTCCCTACCTTTTTACCCGGGAAATCCTTTGCTATGGTTTCAGATCCAAAAGCTTGGAAGCTGTATTACAGATACAGGTAATCGTGAGACCTCAGGAAATACCGTGCACACAGTTTTTCACCGCGACAAGACCAAAGATGCACATCCTGAAAGCTGTTGCAGCTCTGAAAAGGGTGGGCAGCCACTGCCTTGGTTTGAGCATAGGAAAAACGTACCACAGTTTGCAGAACCTACAGAAACGTCATTTGGTCCTGATTCCGGAAAAGGTGCCAAGAGCTTAGTTGAACTCCTTGTAAGTACTGTATGAGGTCTTATAGATAACTGTTGCCACATGGGGTAGATGTGAGAGGAAGATGGTATTTGAAGGCTTAAGGTGGGTAAAGAGATTTTTAAGAAATTAAGGGTATATTTCATTATTCTTTTTTACTCTTCCACTCATGGTTTATGTAACCACTCGGGAGCACATTTCCTGTCTTCTTTTGTCTCAATAGAGGAGACTACAGGTGTTCCTCAAATTACGGTAGGGCTACCTCCCAATAAACCCACCATAAGTCAAAAATATTAAGTTGAAAATACACGGTGTCCATAAAGTTTAGCACACTATTGTAAATTGTGCACCAACTCTACAGGCACCCTATATTTTTAATACCTTAATAAACCTATTGTGAAATGGAAAAATCATAAATCAAACCATCATAAGTCCAGATGCTGCTCAACTTACAATGAGTTATATCTCAATAGGCCCATTGTAAAGTTGAAAAATCATATGTCAGACCATTCCAAGTTTAGGACTATCTATGGTTGGGAGAAGAGGATAGAGATAGCATTGTGTCCAGGAGTCTGCCTCCTTGAAGAGAATTATTGTAAGCAAACTTTACCTTTCTGAGTGGGGATTTATGGTAGCCAGCCTTCCAGACTGAAAGTGATATAGAATATGAACTATATAGTCTGCTCTCTAGATTACTTCCTTTAGGTGTCACCTAGGATAAGTGTAACTGAGCTTGGAAAATCTTTTATAAATAACTCTAATTCCTGAAACTTTAGATATTTCAAGTGAACAAGTGCAAAGTGTGTGTGGTAGCACAAGGAGGAAAGACAAGAGGGGTATCTTTTCCTTAATACTTAAGGTTTTTTTTTTGTTGTTGTTTTTTAAGACAGAGTCTCACTGTATTGCCCAGTGTAGAGTGCCGTGGCCTCATACCTCACAGCAACCTCAAATTCCTGGGCTCCAGTGATCCTCTTGCCACAGCCTCCTGAGTAGCTGGGACTACAGGTGTACCCCACCGTGCCTGGCTAATTTTTCTATTTTTAGTAGAGATGGGGTCTTGCTTCTTGCTCAGCTAGTATCAGGCTAGACATGAGCTCAGGCAATTTACCCACTTTAGCCTCCCAGAGTGCTAGGATTATAGATGTGAGCCACTGGGCCTGGCTGGTACTTAGAGTCTTAATGGAACCCAATCCTTTGGAACACTAGTGGTTTGGTTTTGTTTTTAATGGTTATAAAGTTTAATAGTGATGCTATGTGACTTATTTCTTAAGTTTAAATAAAGTTTCAACTTAGGATCAACTAGAGATAAGTCTAGTTATTTAAAATCTGACAATTATTTGTAACCATCTCTAGTCATTTTTTAAAGGCGAAAATGTTGTGTTATTCTGGTAGGCTCATAGACCTCTGGGATAAATTTTAGATTCAGAGTTATAAATCCAGTTGAGTTGGATTTCATTTTCACTACTTTCCAGGACAGCATGACATGATGCTTATTCTGAAAACACTCCAGTTAAAGGCTTTCTATGACTGAATTGAAGCTAAAAAGCTAGACTTAGAGGCATCAGTATAGCATTTTGCATTTTAAATTTAAGTCATACTCTTAACTACTGTTTTAATTTGCAGGATGAGTCTGAATGCACTTCAGATGAGGAAATCTTTATCTCACAAGATGAAATACAGTCATTTATGGCTAATAACCAGTCTTTCTACAGCAATAGAGAACAATACCGACAGCATCTGAAGGAGAAATTTAATAAATACTGCCGCTTAAATGATCACAAGAGGCCCATTTGTAGTGGCTGGTTGACAACGGCCGGAGCAAATTAAATAAATAAAATAGCTCTGTCTTTCAATGAAACACTCAAGATGACTACTGCGCCTTCTCTTTCAAAAAACTCTTTAATTTAGTGACTTACGGCAAAATTTTATCTTAAATCAATGTGATTCTTTCTTGTTTTGGGAGACGGTGGAGGTATCCTCATTAGTTTGTTCTTTCTTCAGGCTTGTGTCTTTAGTTGCGTGGCTGCGCAGGCCTGCCATATGATTTAAGCCATCTCTTTTCATTAAATGTTTCTCTTCCTGTGAGACTTACTAAAGCAACTTAGTGGCAAAAGTAATGTTGTACTTATACTTCTGTACAGAAATGACAATGAGCTGAATATATGGTTTTACAAAGTAGACATCCACTTGCAAAATGTTTGGATGTAATGTTAAAGCGCAATGTGCAAATTTAAAAAATAAAGAATATTTATTAATACGCACAGTAAAATTTGGTGTACATGTTTCTACTTAATTTGTGGCAATACTTTAGTATTTGCCACTTGTGGATCTGGTACTTGATTAGTGATGCTAGAGAGGATGAAGAGCAAATGAGGATAGAGATACAGATTGTTGAAGACAGACGTCTTCCCTTGATGACAGTTGACAACAGAGGAAAGCAGTTTCCAGTCTTTTGTTTTTGAAAGAATAAATCTGCTGCAATACCTTTAAATACTGGCTAGCATCTTTCTTGTGAGACATTAATTGCTCTTATTAGAAGTTTGGTAATACATAACACACCTCTTAAATTCAGAGGTTTGTACTGACCAGACAATGAAAACAAAATTTGGCAGAATTTCAGCCAAGGGATGCCTGATTAATTATTTACCCAGCATGTAAGACAGCTCACAAGGCTGTACTGGGAGGTAACCACGTTGGGGTCCATATAAGTGCATGTTCAGCCTTATCTGGTGTCCAACATGAAAGTCAGTGTGGCCTTATAGTTACTGCTTTAACAAGCTGTGAGTATTGAAGGAGAATGATTCCCCTGGGATAGTACGAGTAGCTTTTTGCTGCCATTTAAGAAATCAAGTCAAATAGCTCAATAGACAACATGTTTAGAGCTTTGGGTCTGTATGTTTATAATGCTTGGTGGGCAGCAAACAAGTGGTGAGGCAGTCAATACCTCTGTGCAGTTGGAATGGACTGAATATTATGTGTTTTCTAGTAAT